TTGGCGGGACGACACTGTTTTAACCCCGAATGGTAAACGCTTTCAGTGCTGCCACAATTAGCAATTCACTCCCCCCTCCATCTTTGCCCTGCACTCTTGATTATAGCAAAGAGTATCTTGGCAGGCCTCCAGAAACCTACACCTGCTTTGCATAGCCCCTCTGCCGGTGCATCCACAAGGGACATTTGAACTTGCATTCATAACAGCTCCCCACTGCAGACTCACGCCCAGTGCGGCCTTTGATGCCGTAGATTTGACTTCCCTGCTCACCCATTTGCCACAGTCGGCGTAGACTACATGGCACATGTTAGCAATAATGTGCCAGATTACATTCCAGTCATGCTACACTGGAGATCTTCATTAAGAGGTGTCAGCATGACTAAGGTAATGGTAACCTTCTTTATATTTCTCTTAATTTCATTCTATTTTTTGGATGTGGGTGCATAAAAGGCCTTGGGGTATGAGGGCTGGAAACAAGATGTCTCTGTGGATCAACAGACACGCAAAAGTATCCAAATCTATCTTCATATTTAGTTACTTTCTTATGTTCGGAGGAGACTCTGTGCAGACTTGGCTTGGCATTGCCGGCTAATGCAACATCCAATCATCCGTGAGATCTCAAATGCACCTAAAAATGTTTATAATATAAAATAAATACTTTGTAAATTGTAAAATATTCAAGCTCTCTGGATATATGGTATTGAATACAGATCAATAAGTAGAGGTTTTACTGCAATTACAAAATGTTGTCATTTAGATAGAAGATTGCAGTAGTGACAAACTAAATGATACTGACATTGTAACAAAAAAATCTGAACATAAAAATAACAGGAAAACTAGATGCACTTCTATCAAACGTCCCTGTTGAATGTAGTGGCCATGTGTGTTTCTGTAAACGAATGTTTGGTGAGGGGCCTGCTAATCTACAGGGCAACAGCCTTGTTGTTGCTGATCATGTTGATCCCACTCCTCTCTGTGCCAATGCTGTCCAGTTGGACTCTTGAATAGTCTATAACCCACAGATGCCAATGCAAGTGGCCCCTCCAAACAAGACATCCTAAGATCCCAAGATAATCTTTTACGGGCAACTTGAAAAGCACTGAATGATGAAATATCCTAATTCACAGATAACTTCTTCATCAGCTTACCGGGACTTCCAATATTTTATCACTTGCAATACTCTACCTGTAATGAGCTTGATTCTGATGCAAAAAAAAAAAACCGCTCGCATTAGATATTCGACAAACCTTTCACGTACTTATTGAAACTATTAAATTATGAAGCATTTTGGATTCTTTCTCAGCAGAATATAGTAGTGCTGTAGTTCTCGAGACCGGTCTTGGTCTCGCGACCAGTCTTGAGACCAATTTTTTGTGGTCTCGTTCTTGTCTTGGTCTCGACTCGATTTGGTCTCGGTCTTGTCTTGGTCTAGCCCCTGTTGGTCTCGGTCTTGTCTTGGTCTCGGACATAGCGGTCTCGATGGGATGGGGAAAAAAAGAGAAAACAGCACATCCTCACAGAACAGTATCATTATTCATTACGCGCCTCAATTCAAATGCAACCAGTCAGATGCATCTACTTTAAAAACATTACATTGTATACATTTTCTCAATGGACACAGTGCTTCACAGTCCACACACTTCATACACATCGCATGATAGCGAAGTCGGCAAAGAAATGTTCCAAAACGTCACCACGCGTCACCATGTCACATGGTACAAAATCCTCGCGAGAGCAAGACGATTTGAGACAGACCGTGCAGCACAAACTGGAGCCACAACTTTGCCCTTATTGGCTGAAGATTTTAGTCACACGTATGACGTTTGTATCCCAGGAAGTTCCAATGCGTTATCTGCTATTTCTCCCGAAAAGCACATAAAGCAGTGAGAACTGGTTTCAGTTCATTTACTAGTAAAATAAAGTTTAAATAAATGACATAAATGCTCTAACAGTACATGTAAGTTAGTGGTTTATTTATTGTTAGTTACTGTAATGTTGTGCTGCTTTATTTGTTTAATCGTCAGACATACCCATCAGAAAGACATACCTATCGGACATACCTATCAGAAAGATATACCTATCAGAAAGACATACCGATCAGAAAGACATACCAATGAGACATGCCTATCAGAAAGACATGCCTACTAAACATAACTATCAGAAAGACATACCAATCAGAAAGATACCCATCAGACATGCCCATCAGAAAGACATGCCTATCAGAAAGACATGCCCATCAGAAAGACATACCCATGAAGACATACCAATCAGACATACCCATCAGACAAACCCATCAGACATGCCCATCAGAAAGACATACTGACCAGACATACCGATCAGAAAGACATACCTATCAGAAAGACATACCAATCAGAAAGACATACCCATCAGACATAACTATCAGAAAGACATACCGATCAGAAAGACATACCTATCAGACATACCTATCAGAAAGACATACCGAACAGACATGCTGATCAGAAAGACCCATGCTGATCAATAAATACCCATGAGACATGCCCATCAGAAAGACATACCGATCAGACATATCCATCAGACATACCCATCAGAAAGACATACCAATCAGACATACGTATCAGAAAGACATACCGATCAGACATGCCGATCAGAAAGACATACCCATCAGAAAGACATACCAATCAGACATACCTATCAGAAAGACATACCGATCAGACATGCCGATCAGAAAGACATACCGATCAGACATATCCATCAGACATACCGATCAGAAAGACATACCTATCAGAAAGACGTACCTATCAGAAAGACATACCGATGAGACATACCCATCAGACATACCTATCAGAAAGACATACCCATGAGACATGCCCATCAGAAAGACATGCCCATCAGAAAGACATACCCATGAGACATGCCCATCAGAAAGACATACCTATCAGACATACCCATCAGAAAGACATACCTATCAGACATACCTATCAGAAAGACATACCGATCGTCCAATCTGTGAAGAAGGCATGCAGGTGATATTTGTATAGATTTATCTACACCCTTCTGGCAGTGCTGCCATTGCAGTCAGGTCTCACAGACTACGAGGAGTAGAAGTTGTCCGACTTGGCTGCAGTCAGTTTATACTCCACCCCTGCAGCCGCCGACAGATCACGCTCCATGTTGCGTCAGCTGCAGTCGAACGCACCCATTGCTTCTTTAAGGGAGGATGGGCAAAATTACAACGTCGTCGGTGATTGGCTGTTGTGCTGGCGTTCAGTAAGCCTCTGCTCGATAGGCCATCGAGTTTTCTGTCTCAGTGCATTCTCTAAAACGGAGCAAATTTGGTTGATCGAGTTTTATAGTCTGTGTGTATCATCGTGATCGTCCTTATTTTTTATCGATAAAAAATCGAGATCGTTTTATCTCCCAGCACTAATAGCATAGTTATAATTCAATTAAACTAGGTATTTCACATTCATTAGAAAGCACGGTCTTGGAGGTGCAAGTCAATCTGGAGGCTCATTCTCTTCAATTCAAAGCAGAGGATCATCACATAGCCGTATTCATAGCTAACCCGAGGCCTCTCTCCCTGGTACTTAATATGAATATCTTTCTGGTACATCCCATCTCTTTCCCTTGACGAGGTCTGATAAAATGGTTATAGGAGAGGATTGCTGAGAATATTATTTTCCATCAGGCCTCGTAACTATGACAAATCTGGGAGATTTTAAATGAGAGACATATGGACATATGGACAATATAATTGAAAAGATAACATGAATTTGATTTAACGAGTAATGACACTTTACAGCAATGCCTTTTTTCTCTACAGTTGATCTGAGTAATGTGATGTCGATTCTAGCCCTAGTCTGTTTTCGGTCTTGGTCTTGACCAGTCTTGATCTTGGTCTCGCCTTAGTGTGTCTTGGTCTTGGACTTGGTCTTGGTACCCTCAAGTCTCGGCAGTGTCTTGGTCTTGATACCCTCCGGTCTCGGCAATGTCTTGGTCTCGGTTTAGGCGGTCTTGACTACAACACTAGAATATAGACACATGTGAAAGGTATTTCACAGCTAGAATATCAAGTCTGGGAGGGTTCCAGAGTCTTTAACTATTTTGCATAAATTGACCAGAAATTGGTGAGCAGTTTAATGTGTTGAATGAGCTATCCTCCCAACAACAGCCTTTCACCAGATGTAGAGGGATACATGTTTCCACATGTGGGATATGGGAAAAGTTAAAAACGCTCTGGCACTTTAATATTTAATCATTATCTCTTGTTCACTGTCCCTACGCTATTATTCAAGAATCAGCGCAAATGTCAATAGTCCAAATGGAAATGCTTATCGATTTCCAAATTAACGAGCACAGTCAACTGGAGCAGTGAAAACCCCACGCGAAAATGAAATTAGCAGCCATTATGGACTTGTCAAATTAAGGATCTCTGATGTACTGAAAACAATCAAGTTCATTTGTCGCATGAAAAGAAAATGACGTTCTTGCATGCTTATACTGTTGTGGTTGTCACTCATATTCCCATCAATTGTAGTCTGGCTTACATCCAGTACTTCTTTTCAGTAGAAGCGAGTGACGCTAATGACTGCATTATAGGCAATTTAAAAGTGTTGACTGGAAAGGAAAAAAACTGTTTGGACTTTATTTTCCCCAGTATTTGTAATTCACCTTTGCAATTCACTTGATACACAAATGCATGTAATATAAACGTGACATATATTTCCATATTCCCTACATGCTTTTTATAGATATGCAAGTCTCATTAATTTGATAACTGGCATTGCTTCTTGCGTGAAATACACAAACAAACATTTAAACATAAAAGGAACACAGATTTATACAACCATAATATTTAAGTCAGTTACTTTAAGTCTGCTTAGTCGAGACTCGAGAGGTGTGAGTGGCATTTAACTTTTCTTCTTCCGCTCTATGTCCCGCCTATTTGCCCCGGGTCACGTGAATTTCGGAAGCGCTCTATGGACGCACAGGTATCGCTCTCGCGGTGTTTCCGCGAGTTTTTATGCGCGCGTGATCGGTTTCCGGTTCCTGGGGTCGGCGCGTGTTGTTTCTCTCGATCTGCTCGCTGCTGCGAGGCTTCCCCCCTCCCCTCCGCGGTGTGCTGCCGAGAGCTGCTGTAGGGATGATGACGATGGCGGAGCTGGTGCAGGGACAGGCCTCGGTGGCTCAGCCTGGGATGAAAGCAGACGGGTTCGCCGACGCCTTGCACAGAGCCCGACAGGTAACGCGAACACGGGAAGGGATTCCCGTTGAATTCCGATGAGACTTAAGCGACCTAGGCCCTTGTGAAGGAAGAGGGGGGGGACTACTTTTAACCAGCACCCCCCCCCCCCTCCCTCGCCGAAAACACTCGACACACATGCACAAGGTTCAGATTTAATATCGCATGGCAGTGCGGGGAGACACAGGAGCCGCGTGCCAAAAAAAATCACAGTTGTTATAATGTTACTGCGCTTAATGCTGAACTCGAACTTTCAGATCGCCGAAGTGGATCAACTTTCGCGGACCGGAGCCCGAGCAACAAACGGCAACCTGTTGTTATTTAAGCCCCAGAAGTTGTGAGCGCTGCCTGTAGCTTCGCTCCGTGTAGCCGGCGGGGTAGCCACATATCTGAGCTGTCTCGCAAAACAGTTTAAATCTGTCCTGCCTGCCACTCCAGCTTGTTTGCCACCGTATAATCTCCACTCGCTCCTCTCACGGCGTTTCAAATAAATTAAAAAACGGATCTGAAATCCTACTTAACAGGGCGTCACATTTGGAGAACAAGCTGCTTTAATGCACGGCAGCGTGTTTGTTTTTCGTTTAGTTAAATATAAAAACAGCCGCTCAAAGCTGTCGGGAAGTCTTTGAGAGTTTGGATGATATAGGGAGGGAGGGAGGGAGGGGGGGTTCTGGGCCGGCACGGCCCGGGCTTAAATCCTCCCTCAATCCGGGCTTTGAGCTCAGTTTTAACACCTCGAAGTGGCTTCTAATTTTGCAGCACCCTCACACATTTGGTTGTTATATTTTAACTGCAGCGTGTCCAGCATTTGCCTGCGACCCACGCTTCGCTTATGGGAACGTCCGGGCAGAGGCCGGCCCGGCGCCAGTCTCCGGAGCCCGATTGCGAGATTGCTCTCACATGGCCGCATAATTCGTCGCTGGCAAAATGGCAAACGGCGGTCTTTCTCCAAAATGGCAGTGTGATATCTCCCCCGACCCCCCATCCTAATTTCCTAACCTTGTCAAGGAAGGGAAGTTTTCCTGAATTCCACTCCCCATCCCCCCCACCCCCGGAATCTCATCTACAAAGTAAAGGGGCCGACAGGCTGTTGCCCTACCTCGTAAATTCGCCATCAAAACAGCTCTGATTTCTTTTCTTTCCTCGTAAACCACCGATGAAGATCATGCAGTCTGCAATTTGGAGCGAACAACCTAAATGTTTGATTCACGTGCCGTTCCGTGTTTTGTAAATTTCCGAAATGGATTTTTTTTTGGGGGGGGGGGGTGGTTGATACGGTTTGTTCATATTTTATTTTAGACGGCAGCACACTATAAACCAGCTGTTTGCGTTAAAATTTAAAACATGGTTCACGTGCCAAGGGTAAGTTTGTGGATGCTGTCAGACTGCTGCCAAACTATATAAAGCGTTAATCCGATCGTTACTGACTCGATGGCATTAAGATGTCATCTCTGAATGTTTTGTTTCCAAAGCTGTTGCAACATGTAGGAAGGAGGATTTAGATACTGTTGCTTACATCAGATACTGTGTTGGCTGCATGACAATGCCATGTGTGTCCATGCTGCCAAACAGGAGTCCATATGTGGGCAGGGGAAATGCTGCTTATATACAGCGTTTGCTATTCCTGTGGATTTTGTCGCTGGAGAGGGTGTGATTTTAAATATTCTCCTCAGCCATTGCCTATTGTAGGCACAGACACAAGTTTTCTGTCTGTATTGGCACCCTGCAGTCTGGGTTTGGTAAAACAGGCCAGCTTTAGACTGCTTGGCTTGCTTTAAACCGCATGGACTGACATTTCCAGTAGAACTGGTTTTCACCGTACTCGATTTACATCTTATCGAAGTCACGCTGAAATTCTGATGCACATACGTGAGCCTTGATTGTTTACGTGTCTGACCAAGCGTCTGGTGATTGCCCTCTCCTCCCTTTAGGTAATTTGTAGGGGCTATAGCATTCTCTGTCACATTTCTCCATTCTTTTCATTGTTGTGATTTAAGGGGAGGGGGGGGGGGGGCAAAACAAGCTCAGGCTGTCAGTCTAACATACTGTTTTGGTACAAGGCCAGGCAGATTATATTGCCACAGAAAAGGGGTGTGAATCCAGACATGTGCCACAAACCAGTTATTTCAACATACTGTAGTACATGTTGCCCCCTGAAGCAGATATTTTTCTCCCTTAGCTAACAATATGACGGAAGTGTATGTTGAGGGATAAATCTGTATTAAAGATTTCTGCAGTGAAACTTTTAAATTTTTGATATGGTAATTCTCACGCTCCAGCCTTCCGAACAGCACTCAATTGAGCTAATTATTGCCCAAATCAGGCTAACTTAACCCACTCTTAGCAGTGATTATAAGAGGCTTCCAGAGTTGAGATCATCTGCATGGATCCCCCCTCAGGTCAACTACTGCCTTTAGCAGTTAGGGTAATAGAGGAAGCTAGCTGTTCGGATTACCTAAACCAAGCAGTTGTAATGTGCCTGTACAATTTACACTCATTTCAGGGTTAAACGTTGAAGTTGATCCTCGTCGTGATAGTGCTGCTGGATATGGCACTGTAAATCAGTGCGCTCATTGGACTCAACCCCCCTGTGGCATGGTTTTCGGTAACATTCCCCTGTGTCGTTTTTAAAGCGAGTTTGGTCCCTCTGTGTATGAGGCATTTCCCCTGCCATTTTCTCTGGTATTTATTGGTTTACTTAATGCTGAGCTTGGCCACTCCTCTCCCCTGTTTGCGTTGGTTCTTTCAGACAAGAGGACAAGGTTAAACGTTCCCTTTTTGTCAGCGTCGTGGAGGGAGGGCACTTGATGTGGGATTACTGCAGTGGTCAGTGTATGACTGGGCATGCATGCTTATAAATGTCATATTCAAGGTTCTGAGGACAACTGTGCTCTGACCATGATGCAGCTTTTTTTTCTGGGTGATTTTTAATAACTGTCCTCTTTCCTGTTGCCTGGTACTAATGTTTTTATTATGGTCATAAAACCCATGTGTTGAGCTGGAAATGTTTGGGTTTTTTTTTTTAAATAATGAATTTCCTCAAGGTTGCACTTAGTCTCATTTTGAGTCACTACCTTCATGATGTGCTGAAGAAGTTCAGTAATCATGACGTTTCTCATTGGTGCGTAAATACTTGCAGAAAAGTTCAGGCTTCTCCATATAAGTGTAGGTGGAATTGTACACGGTTTCCTTGTAATACAGCACTGCTGTGAGCATATGGCATAGTTTTCCGCTTGTCAGGTATGGTACCAGTGTACCAATGACATGTTAAAGCATCTCTGACCTTCTTTATGTTTAGTCTTACTGCAGCTGATGGGTTTGCCTCCCTCTTCCTGTTTTGCGGGGGTTACCTTGTGCCACCTGGTTGTTTTGGAGGATTCCTGCCTGCTCGCGTTCATCTCTCCCCTCTTCATTTTGATTTATCGACACTCGTGCATTGTCGGCATTCCATTTGTGCATTCTCAAGGAAGGAGGTTTTGCTCCAGGGAAGAGGAGGAGCTCCCTCCTCCTCCATCCCAATTGTGCCCCCCACACCCCCCTCCTCATGTGCCACTTCTATCCTGCATTTCCATACAGAGATAAGATCCCAACTGAGGAGCCCCTTTCCAGCATTTTTCGTTATTCGCATGCCTGGAACGCTGAAGTAAACTCGCCTCCGGGTGCCGGAAGCCTCTTGTTGGTTGCCTTGTGTTTTTAATACTTCAGAATAGTTCTTTGTAACCAAAGGGAGCTTTCAATAGCCTGTAATTTTCTGTAACGGTATACTTCAAAATGGAATGGGGCAAAAGGGTTGTTTTTTTTTGTGTTTGTCGGTGGTTTGGGGGGGGGGTGGCTTGGGTGAGCTTGTTTGTTCTGTGCAGGTTTACTGGATTATCAGCCTTCAGAAAAAGTGAGTAACTTTTCTTCAGCCGTTGCGTGACTGTTATGGAAGAGAGATAGGTTAGGGTTAGGGTTAGCCAGGCTTTGTGCTCGTTTCCTGTGCTAATTTTTATTTGCATGCATTCCTTATCAGTGTGTCAAGTCGTAATTGAGGAGCAGTATCCGCAAATGGGTATTAACGTCAAAATGGGGTTGCTGTAGCACCAATTCAGGGGAACCCACAAGTATCTGCAAGTCAACAAAATCCCTGAAGATCCCCGTCCTTCTCCCCTCCAGCAGGCAGACAGAACCTGTGTGTGTGGAGTTCTGGATACCAGCAATCTGTATCTTTCTGGACTTTCATTTTTTTTCCTGTACTCCTCTAGATTGCCGCGAAAATGGGAGGTGACCAGATGACCCACTTGAACAACTCGTCACCAGTCGTAGATCCTTCCCTCTATGGCTATGGGGGACAGAAGCGAACCTTGGAGGAGGGAGGTAAGTCACTTCGTTTTTGAGATATTTAAAATAGTGGGACTGGTAAAATGAGTCAAAACAGCCACTGGGTTATATGTTTAAATCCCACCCCAAGCTTTTTGCGTAGTTTTTCTGTCCTTGCTGTGCCTGTGTTGTCATCTTGGATACTCCAGTGTCTACGTTCATTCTTGCTGTTTTTTTTTTTTTTTTTTTGAGAGTTGGGTCTTTGTGTGCACGCACTTGTGCCCTGTTTTATACTGTGTGGGACTGGTGCTGTACTGCCATGTTACTGGGAATGGTTTCCTTTTTATTTTCTCAGGATTGTGCCAAGTGGTCTTTGGCCCATGATTGTCACTGTAATTGTCAGGATTTGCTGGAGGATTGAGTCTGAGTGTCTGGACCAGAGCCAGTAGCTTCCTCCTGTCTTTCGCTTTGCCTGTCCGGGACAGTGTGTTCCTTTTTATTATGCTGCTAGGGTTAACTTGGGGGCAAATTTTTATGGATATCATGATTCCATGCAAAGTCTTGATCGACAGTCTCATTTGAGTTGAGCTCTGGTCAGACTGTTAGCTGTCAGACCATATTCTTATAACATGAATTTAACTTCTAGCTACAGGTGGGACTCTGGAGATATCCTCATCAGGGTACTTAAGAATTATCTTAGTATTTTTTAAAATGTATTAATTATGGATATTCTTCCATGTGGCACCTCCTTGGTAATCGTATAATTGTTCTGGTTGAACAAGTGCAGTGGTGTTGAATTTATTTTTTAAACTGCTATTAAGCAATAGAGATGATCGCTGTTAAGAGTCGATGGGTTGTGTTGGGCACAGGCTTAAAAATGACTCTGCTGTTTGGTTTGAGTACAAATTGCTCCAGCTCTTGGGGTCAGGCAATGGTCCTTTAGGCTCCAAAAGAACTGCGTTGTCACAGGGGCAGAAGAAATGAACATACAAAAGGGAGGTTGGCCCTGTTCCTTTGCTGTGCTGTGTAGAATGAGTGGTCCTTCTGCTGTAATGCATGAGCTGCGTGCCGTTCCTCTGCTAGGGGCACTTGGCTGGTCCTCTAGTGTTTGTCTGTCTGAAACCATTCCAGCAGCCTTGAGTGGGACTGAGTCAGTCAATAATATTCCACGTGTGTTGCAATTATTTTTAATAAGACGCATTGAGGGCATTGGAGCATATTGTGATCTTTTAGATAAGATTAGCAGCAGGGCTTAGATGTCGACTGGTTTATTGGTGTATTAGCCAGTTGCATAATCCAGCTTTGACTGCGATCACTTCTTGGTTTTCATGCCGCTGATAATATTCAGGCACCTTTGTAGCAAAGCCCTTCACTAATGGCTAATGAATTTGTGCACATTAAATCGCTGCTGCTCAAGTGAGTTGTCTGCCAAAAAAAGTGCATTTTAATATTGGCTTGTTGAGCTCCCGGAAGTTCAACTAACTGGTAACTTATCAAATGTTTGTAGAACTGTTAAATGGTCTATGAAGGCCGTTCAGTCTTTGGAAAAATCATTAATTGTGGAATATAGCTGTTTTTGAGTTCTGCCTCCTGTAAGTAGGAGTTGAGATTGAAGACACTTGTTTGCTTTATGGACTTGTAATCTGTCACTTGGTATTTTTCTTTTTCTCTGGCAAGTTTTTGAGTTTCAAAATGTTTGACAAAGTCAGTGAAAATCTCTTAATTTTTCAGCCTCCTTGCTGAATCGGATCAACAGGCCCGCATTTAAAGCTGGACCAGGGAGGTCTTGCAGAACAGACTTCAAGGAAATGCTGTGATGTGCAATCAGATTTGGCATATGACTTGGACTGTTGCCTGTTATGTGATGTTATATAAAGGGCTAATCATCTTCCTTAGATGGGCTAAATTCGTTGCTGGCATTGATATCTAAAACGGTCAAGGTGGCTTTATTTCTGTGCTCCCTGCATAGTACTTTGGGTGCTATTTGGCTTGCATGTTCTTGCTCTGGAGAAATAAACTGGTGCAACACCATGAGTTATCAATCCCAGTGAGGTGCAGACTAATTGGACTTGGGGAGAGTAGGAATACATCATGGAGGCCCTGTGGTTTTAGATGAGGGCAGAGAACAAGGTCTTTGCACATTGTCCTTGGCCTGGACTAGAGGTTATGTAAGAAATTATGGGCATACATGCCTTGTGTTCAGACGTGAATCTCTCTGAATTTGTCCTTAACATCTGGGGCTGTAACCCGTTAAGGACTAACCTGAATGCCAGGCTGGTAGTGACTTTTAAGTAGGGCTGCAAGATATCGAATCACGCTCACATAGCGCAAGCTCAATAATCAGGTCTTTAGATGATGGGCGTAGACATTTGTCCTGACACCGGCTTTTTGGTAGTACACGAACGTCTACTTGCGCCCACAATTTGGATTGGTAGAATTCATCCTCTAGGGTGACATGCTCAGGATACTCGATGTCTTATCTGCCGACCATATGTATTTTTGGCACCGTAAGCATGAGCCATTATGAACAGTAATGTTGTCTATATGCTGCTTTGTCTGTATGTATATGTTGGCCTGTTGGCTAACAATGCTTCCTCCATTATATGCTCTACAGTGGGAGGCCAACTGGGTGCAATGGTACATCAAAGGTGAGCTTCGCTTGTTTATGTTCTTACTGGGGGTCTATATTCATTCATCAAATACTGTATGCATTCACACAAACCGAGTACAGTACTACTCAGACCCGTCAATAAACTGAAATAAGACGGCTGAGTTGCCAGCCATTCTTGCCGTATTTTCTGTAATGTCCGAATGCTGCTACTCATCAATACGTTGTATGATTCCTGGGTTTGGGTTTGACCTGTGATGGTTCTTTCCCCCCTGTTAGGGCTATTATGACAGAGGACTTCAAAGTGCCTGATAAGATGGTTGGATTCAGTAAGTATGTGGTGGTTTTACTACATTAAAATGCTGTGGTTTGGGTATTCAGTGTTTTTTTTTTTTTTTTTTAAACTGGCTGTGGTTCTCCAGTAAGCTCAAGGGGAAGTCTGCTCTTTAATGTAGAGGGCAGGTAGGCAGTGTTAAGTTCACACTGCTAGATGCTCTCCACCCTGCTCAGATCTGGAGATTGAGCTGTTGGCTTTGTTAAGCATCTTACTGCCATCTCATCATTGGTTCAGGGTAGGTTGATCTAGCAGCTTTGGTGGAGCTAGTCAGAGTTTTGTGGTGCACTGTTAGGGTAGATGTCCCACAGCCATTGCTTAGGCCTTGTTGAGTAGACCTTCCCTAAGCTGCTATTAGGTTTTCACTCATCTATTTCATGCTGTTCCTGCAGTTATTGGCCGTGGAGGAGAGCAGATCACACGGATTCAGCTGGAATCTGGCTGCAAGATTCAGATTGCAGCCGGTAAAATATGCCATCTGCTGTCCTGCACCCCGGCCTGATCCCTTGATTTTATTCTGGTGCATTTTCACATTTTGTCTTGCTGGTGGTGCAGACCTTGTCCTAATGTGTCATTTGCTGTGTCCGTCCTGACAGACAGTGGCGGTATGATGGACCGCCCCTGCACGCTGACGGGAAGCCCCGAGAACATTGAGTAAGTACACTGGTGACACACTTGGGCCTGAGCAGAGCCTGCGAATGAGCAAATGCACCGCGATCTCAGATAATCTCAAAGCACTACACAGATATACAGATGGTATCAGCTTCCTTCTTTAAAGCAGTAGATGGAACCGTTCACAGACTTGCTTTGTCAGCCTTTCTCCTTCCACTGGTGCCAGTTTCAGTCTTAAAAATGGCTTTTTGGCTGGACATCCAGGGTTTCGTTCCTTTTTGAGGGTAAATTTAAAGTTCAGCTGCGCTGATTGTAAAGCCTCGTTTTAAAGCCATGCCTTCACGTGCTTCAGTCATCAGCATCTTTAACCAGCTCTCCCCCCCACCCCACAATTGCCCACCAGACATGCAAAGCGGCTGTTGGGCCAGATTGTGGAGCGCTGCCGGAACGGACCCGGCTTCCACAGTGAGCTGGAGGGCACCAGTGCCGTCCAGGAGATCCTCATACCAGCCAGCAAAGTGGGCCTGGTCATCGGGAAGGGAGGGGACACCATCAAGCACCTCCAGGTTAATGGCCACTCTTTGTGTAAACATCCAGGCGCCAATGGATAACCTGTGTGTTGGAGCCTGTTGGGGAAGCAAACTGTCCCTAGGCCTGTGGTAGCTCTCCATGGGTGGGGGGGG